ATTGCTCTTTGTCAGTTACCCACAGGGTCTCAGTCCCAGCGCTGGAGGACAGTTCTCTACTGCGATCTTTCTCTGCTCCTGTGACCTCTCCTTTGCTCCTCGGTGTCATTTGCTTTGTGTCCTGCACCAGGGAAGTGGGCACACAGTGCCGGAGGGTGTCTCTGTCCACGATGACCGACGACAACTCTACTAGAAGCAGAATAAGCGACAGACCACGTGTGTCAATCCCACTAACCCTCACATCATTTTGTCTCATCTGGTTTCACTCATCACCTGACATGGGCCAAAGGAGAATCCCTGGTTTAAAAAAAAGTGGTCTTCACTGATTGAAGCAAAATTGCCTCATCTATGATAGTTTTTACAAAAGCACATGCCAAGGCTGGGTCTGTAGCTCACTTGGTAGCTGGCTTGCCTAGCGTGCTCAAAGTCTTGAGTTCCACCTCCAGCACCAACACTGCACACATGTAGCACACACCTGTAACCCTACCACTCAGGAGGCAGCAGCAGGAGACCCCAAAGTTCCAAGTCATCCTTGGCTATATAGGAAGTTCAAAGTTTAGAATATGTGAGAGCCTTTTTTTTTTTTTAGATTTATTTATTTATTACGTACACAGTATTCTGTTTGCATGTATTGCTGTAGGCCACAAGAGGGAGTCAGATCTCATTACAGATGGTTGTGAGCCACCATGTGGTTGCTGGGAATTGAACTCAGGACCTCTGCAAGAACAGCCAGTGCTCTTAACCTCTGAGCCATCTCTCCAGCCCCCCCCCCTTTTTTTTTGTTTTTGTTTTTGTTTTTCAAGACAGGGTTTCTCTGTGTAGTTTTGGTGCCTGTCCTGGATCTTGCTCTGTAGACCAGGCTGGCCTCGAACTCACAGAGATCCGCCTGGCTCTGCCTCCCGAGTGCTGGGATTAAAGGTGTGTGCCGCTGCTGCCTGACAACAGCCTATCTTAAAACAATAACAACAACAGAAGCAAAAGAGCAGACCAGACCAAACCAGCCCCCTCTCTCACACACACACACACACACACACACACAAAAGGTTCTTCTGCCTCTGTGGTTTGTGGTCTGCAGGTTATATTGATGGCTCGAAGCTGTAGAGTCTGGAGATGTGGGGTTAGAGCGCTTGCCTAGCATGTGAGGTCCTAGGGTCAACACCCAATCCAGGGGAGATAAAAGAGATACTGTATGCATGCGTTCTGAAGAGGTAGGCACTACCCACAACCAGCGGTTGCAGTGAGGTACCTAGGAAAGCACTTGCACCCGAGTTAATCCCTGAAGCTTGTGTGAAGGTGTAAGACGAGAGCGACTCCACAGGGTGGTCCTCTGACCCCACCCTTGTTCTTCCGTGGCACACAGACTCAACCCCCTTATTATATACACACACTAATAATTCTTTTTTTATGATCCATTTTTATTCTTTTTTTAAAATGGTTTATTATTTCTTTTTATTTTGTGTGCATTGGTGTTTTGCCTGCATGTATGTCTGTGTGAGGGTGTCAGAACCCCCGGAACTGGAATTACAGACAGTTGCATGTAGCTGAAGTTTTCCTGTGTCCACCCAGCTCCTGCAGCTGCTCAGGCCTAAGTAAACACACAGAGACTTATATTACTCATAAACTGTATGGCCGTGGCAGGCTTCTTGTTATCTAGTTCTTATATCTTAAATTAACCCATTTCTATTAATCTATAAGTTGCCATGTGGCTTGTGTCTTACTGGTACTTTTACATCTTGCTTCTTCTGTGTCTGGCTGGCGACTCCTGACTCAGCCTTCCTGTTCCCAGAATTCTCCTCTCTCTGTGTCCTGCCTACTTCCTGCCTGACTACTGGCCAATCAGCACTTTATTTATTAACCAATCAGAACAACACATTCACAGCATACAGAGCAATAGCCACAGCAGTTGTGAGCTGCCATGTGGGTGCTGGGAATCAAACCTGAGTGCTCTGGAAAAGCAGTGAACATGGTCTTAACTGATGAGCCATCTTTCCAGCCACAATAATAGTTAAAAAAATTTTTTTTAAATGTGACTAATTGCCTGGCATAGTGGCACACATCTTTCATCCCAGCACTCAGGAGATAGAGGCAGGAGGATCTCTATGAGTCACAGGATGAGGCTATATAGTAAGACCCTGTCTCAAAACAAAAACAAGAAAGAAAAAACAAAAAAAAAAAATTAAAACGGAAACCACCACCAACAAAAACAAACATCCCTCCCCCCAAATATATGACTAGTGGCCGAGGAAGTGAATTTAAGTGTGCAGACTTACTTTTAAAATTTCTTCTTATTATTTTGGGGTTTTGAGACAGAGTCTCACAGTGTAGTCCTGCTAGCCTGGTACCCACAGTGTGGCCAAGGCTGACCTAAGCAATTTTCCTAAGTTCCCCTGTGTCCCAGGTATTGGGATTACAGGCATGAACCACTACGGTCAGCAAAGGTGATGCCATTTAGATTTTAATATTTATGATTTAGGCTGGTGTGTAGCTCAGTGGCTGAACACTTGTCCGGCATGCACAAACACCCTGGGTTCTACTTCCAGCACTGTTAAAATAAAATTTAAATAGCTACATGTAGCTGCCACAGAGGGCAGTGCCAATTTAGGGCCACTGTGAAGGGACAATGACCCAGGAGGGGGAAGAAAGAGGAGGCAGGCCCATCCGGTGCCTAGGAGCTGCCCAGAATTTTTGAGGGGAGAGAGAGGGCCAGTCCTGCCCAGAGGATCTTTGTCTTTCCTTCTGGGAAATATTTAGGGCTGCCTGACAGGCTAGACATGGGCTGGGGCTGACCAATCGCAGGCACTGTGCCTAGGGCCCATTATATTTTTAGGGATCCTCAAAATTGTATTTCTGGAGCTGGGGATGTGGCTCAGTTGGGAAGACTGCCTAATGTGCATGAAGTCCCGGATGGATCTCCCAGTACCAAATAATCCTGGTGTGGTGATGGCCTACACCTGTAACCCTAGCAATTGGGAGGTAGTGTAGGGAGAAAGGAGTTTGAAGGCATCCTAGGCTACATAGCAAGTTTGAGGCCAGCCTAGAATACGTAAACTATGTCTTTAACAAAAAAACATATTTTGTTAAAGGAGAAAGGGCCCTTAAAAGCCAAGTGGCTGGTTTCTTCCTGCTCCACGCTGGAGCCTCCCTGGCTGTATTTAACTGATAACTGAAGTCTCCACTATTCAACAAGGAAACTTCTCTTTGCAGCAGATGGAGACCACTACAGAAAACCACAGCCGATCAAAATAGAGAGTTGTGGAGCCCAGTCCCAGTGGATAAATCTACAAAACTCTCCTGCATCTAAGGCTCAGGGAACATTGAGGGAGAAGGGGCAGGAAAAACTGTAAGATCCCTACTGGATCAGGGAGTTCATTGTAAGACTGTGTCTCCTAGTAATGTCAGAAGCTACCCCCGTTAATTCTCTCTAACATGACTGCATAAACATGAGCTGAACATGGACCACACCAACAGACATGCCAAAGTGGATGAGGAAAAGCCCATGACACCTCAACCCTACACAAAGAACTACAGGAAACTGAGGCATGCTGGGAGTGGGAGAACCAGTCTTCCCCAGGGAAGAGCACACCAACTGGTTGTCCAATACCAAGTGGTCAGCCCTGAAAACATACATAAGAGTAACATTATACAGACTGAGAGGGTTATATTAGGAATATATATGTGTATACACTTATATGCATACAGTAATAATTAATTTAAAAATAGGTCATGAATCATGAATTTGAAAGAGCAAGGAAGGGTATTTAGGAGCGTTTGAAGGGAAGAAAAGGAAGGGAGAAATGTAATTATAAATCTCAAAAAAGTAAAACTTTTTTCCTCTTTAAAAATCACTTCTGCAGCCGGGCGGTGGTGGCGCACGCCTTTAATCCCAGCACTCGGGAGGCAGAGCCAGGCGGATCTCTGTGAGTTCGAGGCCAGCCTGGACTACCAAGTGAGTTCCAGGAAAGGCGCAAAGCTACACAGAGAAACCCTGTCTCGAAAAACAAAAAAAAAAAAAAAAAAAATCACTTCTGCTAATAAAGTTTGTTGATCTCTCTCTCTCTCTCTCTCTCTCTCTCTCTCTTTCTCACACACACACACACACACACACACACACACACACACACACACACACAGTGGCTGAGATCACTGTGTGGTCATATAGTATGGGAGAGAGAGCTTCTTCCAACACCGACATCTCACCCTGAACTCTCGGTTTTCAGCCGGGCCACTTCTCCATTGTTCCCCGGCAGGGGCACACCTGCATCCCAGAATGCGGCCACCTGCGCCAGGGTTTGGCACAAAGGAGCCAATGAAACGAGCCGACTTCCCAATGACTTCCAGGTCAGAGGAGACTCCTGGGTGCGAGTGTCGAATAAAAGACTTGCAGACACGCGTGAGCAGAGGGCACTGTGGGACTAGAGAAGCGATTGATCAGAATCTGTGAGGCGTGGGAGGTAAAGACTAGGAGAGGGCGAGCTCCAGCCGGCTCAGAAAGGTTGAGGAACTTGCCGCGCTCACACGGCAGAGATTCAGGTTTCCTTAGCAGCAGCTCTGACACCCACCGCTACTCCTTCACGAATCCCTGGAACCCCCATAGGTCGCTGCGGGACCACGGGAAGGGCAGAAAGGGCAGCGACTGTGCAGACCACTCTGTGGTTCCTCATGGCTGTTCCCTTCTCTCCCTTCCCTCTCCCTGGGACAATATCCTCCTAGAACCTATCCTAAGAAAGATCTACAATTCCTGAGCCTCAGCTACCGCTTTGTATATTGATGGATTTTGAGATAGGGTCTCTGTATAGTACAAATGGGTCTCGAACCCTCGATCTTTCTGTCTTAGACTACAAGGACACGGAGGACAGTAGTCATTCGGAAAGCCCGGCGCCTCTGCACACGGTCTGGAGGTCTGGAATGCAGCTCGGCTCCTTTAAGTCCAGCCTGGGAACGCCCCGGGCAGGCATCACGGTTCCGGGATCTGCAGGCTGGGAAAGCCAGTGCTGCAGCGACCTCCCGGCTCCTGTCCCCGAGGTGCCCCGCCCCGCGCGCCCGCTGCTTCCTGGAGCTGCTGGGCCTCGGCGTGGGGAAAATGAGTCGCATCTACCAAGACAGCGTCCTCCGCAACAAGGCGGTGCTGAGCGCGCGACTGCGCGGGGTCTGGGACCCCGCCGCCCACCAGGGGTAGGCTGTGCTTCGTCCACGCGGCTGCTGGCCAGGGGTGGGTAGTGCTGTGTCCATCCGGCTGCTGGCCAGGGGTGGGTAGTGCTTCGTCCACGCGGCTACTGGCCAGGGGTGGGTAGTGCTGTGTCCACGAGGCTACTGGCCAGGGGTGGGTAGTGCTGTGTCCACCTGGCTGCTGGCCAGGGGTGGGTTGCACTTTCTCCTGCTGCTGACCAGGGATGGGCCGTGCTTCCCCTCACTGCTAGCCAGGGGTGGACTGGGCATAGGAACTGCCGGGTATGTTGGGTCCCTGGGGCCCTGGCCCCTGCTGTTGGCTCGGGGTGGTCTGGCAGCATCCCTGGCGCCTAGGCTCCAGAACTCAGAATTTGAGTCCTGCTCAGAGATTGATCCGGGAGGAGGGGGCGTTGGAGGTGAGAAATAAAACTGGCACAATCAAAGCCACCTCTACACCCGGAAGGCAGATATTCTTGAAATTCCCGCCTACAGGCATATCCACCGGAGGGACACCAGACTCCCAAATGGAACACCCCGAGGCGGTGCTTCCGTCCGACCTCGGTCCTTTCCCCCACCCCAGGGCTCTGAACTTTAGTAATTTGTCATGATGCACCACCGGTGACCAGCGCGTGGTGTGGCCGGAAACAACAGAGGGAGGTACAGGCCTTGTCTGTGGTAATAAGCAGGGTGGACAATTCCATTTACAGCCAGAAACACCAAAGAATTCCGATACATGAAAGAAGCCAGTCCCAGAAAGTCAAATACGTGTCATCTAGGGAGTGGAATCTAAGTCTAACTCCTAAGGTTTTCAGTGAAGCAGTTTTAGTTCAAAGGACGAGTAGGTTCTGAGGATCTAGGGTGTACATAAATCTGATTGCGTGAATCATCACACGATGTGTGTATATATCAAGTTATCTTGTTAAATGCCTTCAGTATATACTGTCTTGGTAAGTTAAATATTTTTAGAAAGAATTTGAGAGGAGAAAATATATAAGACAAAGAGTCTTGGCCCAAACCTCTTCCGTTATCCTTTTTAGACCCACCCTTTCCCAGTGTTGACGGTTCCAAAGAAAGCCCCCAGGCCCCAGGTTCTGCTTTTGTGAAAGCTGGCATCTGGAAGTGGTAAAGGGGTTGCTCTGGTTCTTCTCTGTGTGGTACCCCGTGATCTTGGGCTAATTCCCCAAACTTCTGAGTCTCTAATTTTCTAGCTGTATGGTGACAGTAACCATTTCCCTGGGTTCATGATCATGTAGGAATGAATGGGAACAGGAACGTGAAAGTTCTTTAAAATAGTGAAGAGGGCTTGCTGCTCTTCAGAGGCCCTGAGTTCACTTCCCAGCACCCACATCAGGGGGCTCAAAACTGCCTGTAAGTCCTGCTGTGGGGGGTTTGACTCCCTCTTCTGAATTCCACAGGCACCAGTACACACATGCTTGCATTCACACAGACACACATGCTTACACATTAAAAAAAACTCACCCCCACCATCTACACAATAAACAACAACAAAATACAGAGGCATGGTGGCTCACAACTTTAATCCCAGGAAGGCAGAGACAGGTTGATCTATATGAGTTCAAAGCAGCTTGGTTTACATAGGAAGTTCCAGGACAGCTAGAGATACATGGGAAAACCCTGCCATTAAAAAAAAAAAAAAGAAAAGAAAAAGAAAAAGAAAAAGAAAAGAAAGGGAAAATGATTTATTTTAGCATAGACACTTGTTCCCAAATTTGCTTAAATAAAAAAGTAGAATTATTTGTTTGTTTGTTTATTGAGAGGAGAAAATATATAAGACAAAGAGTCTTGGCCCAAACCTCTTCCGTTATCCTTTTTAGACCCACCCTTTCCCAGTGTTGACGGTTCCAAAGAAAGCCCCCAGGCCCCAGGTTCTGCTTTTGTGAAAGCTGGCATCTGGAAGTGGTAAAGGGGTTGCTCTGGTTCTTCTCTGTGTGGTACCCCGTGATCTTGGGCTAATTCCCCAAACTTTATTTGTTTATTTGTTTATTTATAGCATTTTGCTATGTATTCAAGGCTTGGCTTGAACTCACAGTGTAGCCCAGGCTGGGCTTGAACTCACAGCAATCCTCCTTCCCAAGCTCAGGGATTCCAGGTTTGTACCATCAAGCCCAGCCCAGGTTTGTGCTATCTAGCTCAGCTCTAAAAAATGCTTTACATTTAGTAAGTACTTAATAGTTCATAATCACCTTTGCATGCATGTTCTTAGGCCAGCATCAGAGGACACAGGGAGGCAGCTGTTTTCTCCTCATTTGTGGATAAGAATCTTGAGGGTCTGCTCCCAGTAATTCCCAGTGTGTGTGTGTGTATGTGTGTGTGGGGGGGAGGAATAGCTTGGCTTCGGCACAACCTGGGAAGGTTCTTTGCAGGGATGGAGGGTCTGAGGGGGGAAACAGAGTGGTTGCTTCACACCAGGCCCCCTCAGAGACAGGTGAATAGAGTCTGGGGTGAGATTTATTTTTTTCTGTCTCAGTGCAGATTCTCACCCAGGCCACTAAACCCTAGTGTGGCTCTCCCAAGGACTGACAGAACCTGCCTTCCTTCCTTCTCACCCCCAGGGGAAATGGCGTCTTGCTGGAGGGAGAGCTGGTGGATGTATCTCGGCACAGCATCTTGGATGCCCATGGCAGGAAGGTGAGGCTGTGTCCTGGTGGCACTCACAGGGTCTCCTCCCTCACCTACACAGCATCTCCTTGTGCTGGGCTAAGACACGGATCCAGGCCACTTCCTGAGGGGCTCACGGAACAGATTGCCACAGCCAAACAGGACCAGTGGAAAGGGGACTTTTAGAGCCCTTTAGGTAGCAGACAGGTGAGACTACATGGTTCCTGCAGGAGGAGCCCCCCCTACAACTGAAAGAACAGACCACACCCCAAACCCAGTCTAGCCTGGACACAGTCTCCACGCTGACATGCTGACATCTGGGCCCGCAGCTCTTGTATGGATGGCCTCCGGTGATGTTCACGACCCACACATCCCAGGTCTCCATGACCACGCACAGCATCATCCTGTCCTAGCCCATGTCTCCTTTCTGAGCACTAGTTCTGCACTTCTGCCCTCCTTTCAGAGAGCCCCTCTGGATGTACTGAGCACCCTGTGTCCTTGGTCCTTGGTCTCTAAGCCTCAGCTTAGCATCAGTGTCAGGCTTTCTCAAAGTGGGCCGAGACCTGGTTCTACACTCAGCCTATGCTTTTTTTTTTTTTTTCTTTCTTTTGAGACAGTGTTACTCTATAGCCCTGAGAATTTGATCTGTAGACCAGGCTAGCTTTGAACTTAGGGATCTACCTGCCTCCGCTGGACTTCAGTCTATGCTTTTGTATGATATACACTCCATGAGAGCAGCCTCTGCTACTGGCTCACCATTTTCATGCCCAGAGATCTTGCCACACTCTCTGCTCCTTAGCTTGCAGGTCAGTTGGTGCACACCAATCTGGACCCCCCACCCAGCCTGCCCAGGACAGCTGCACCAATGTGGAGCTGGCCTGCCTCAGCTGGCCCAGCACGGGCAGGTGTTCACCCAGACCCTTTCCAAACGTGCCTCTTCTGTCTTTACTCTTGATGGCACACAGGGCAGTAGCCCTGTCAGCCACTAGCCTTCAAGCCCCTAGCTCCTCGCCCCTCCTCCTCGCCCCTCCTCCTCCTCCTCCTCCTCCTCCTCCTCGTCCTCCTCCTCCTCCTCCTCCTCCTCAGGTAAGCAGTGCCCATGCAGCCCAGTTCCTACTCAACCATTCCTTTTCTCTCTCGAATCCTCTTCCTCTCTCCGTGGCCACCCTCCACAGGGCCCTTAGCTGTTCCTCTTAAATCTTTGTGCCTGATTTCCTACCTTCTGGTGAACCCCAGTTTGGCCCCTTGCTAACTCATTACCAGAAAGACATCTCTGGGGGTATTGTTGCTGCTCCCAAGCCTTTCAGGATTCCTTTTTATTTATCAAAGAAGATCCAAATTTCCAATGGCAATTCGAGGCCCATCTGAAGCCCATCTCAGTTGCTCTCCAGCCTGGGCTGCCAAGGGGCCTCTCAACGGTCTGTGTTGCTCAGATGTGCCCACGGCCTCTTGACTGGCTCAGGCATTTTTTTTTTTTTGCGGGGGTGGGGGTGGGGTAGGGTCTTATCCAAAAAATAATCCAGGTTGGTCTTGAACTCATTGTAAAGCAGAGACTGACCTTGAACTTCTGATCTTCCTGCCCCTTCCTCCACAGTGCTGGGATTACAGGCATGTACCACCATACCAGGTTTATGCAGCACTGGAGTTCAAACCCAGGGCTTGGTGTATGCCAGACAGGCGTTTGGCATTCCCCGGCCTGTCTCGGGCGTTTAGTGCTCTTCCTGTCCCTTGTCCCACACCTGTAGGTTGCTCTGCCTCTTGAGAATTCCCCTTTTGTGGTGGTCCCAAAAGTGCTATCAGCTTCTTCCGTCTCTGGGCACTGTTCCTGTGCCGCTTTTGTGAGAAGACCTGACCAGTAACTTCTCAGGGCACATCTTGCTTTGCAAGGTGCCTCCTCCTCCACTGTGTCACTGGCTCCCTGTAATGTCCCTGAAAGAAAACATCATGCTGTTCCCACATGTTGGGGGACACTGAGGCATGGGAGGCTTGGGGTGATTTGCCCCAGGCCTGTATCTGAGGGCAGCAGAGTGGCTGCCCTCCCTTAGGTCCTGATGTCCTTTCTGTGGCACGTTGGCAACATCCATCCTGCCTCGTGGCATTTGGGAACCCTGGTACTTGGGTTATAGCTTTTAGTCGTTGGTTGGGTGGAAACCCTGGAGGCCTCGTGTTGCCCTCCGTGGCTTGTGTGGCGCGTTATGTGGACAGGCACTCTAGTAGGTATAGGAGTGAATGAATATTTAATTCAGGCATCTACCCAGCCTACACATTAGTGTAGGATGATGGGATTCTGAGGCAGAGGGTGGGGTGGGCAGAGGATACAGGGAGAGCCTGGGCTGAGTGTGTGTGTGTGTGTGTGTGTGTGTGTGTGTGTGTGTGTGTGTGTGTGTGTGTTGGAACTGGGATGGGGAACGAATAAGGTAGTCCCCTCACTCCTTCTTTGTCTCACCCAGGAGCGCTACTATGTGCTGTATATCCGGCCCAGCTGTATCCACCGACGGAAGTTTGACCCCAAGGGAAATGAAATAGAGCCCAACTTCAGTGCCACCAGGAAGGTGAACACAGGCTTCCTAATGTCATCTTACAGTAGGTATCCTGGGCTCTCCCTCCCAGGAGGCTGTTAGACTGTGTCCTGCTTGTCTCCCGAGACCCTTGTCCCCTCCCCACCCAAGCAGCTTCTCAGCACAGGAGGCTTTGATGCTGTTTCTGGCTTGAGCATCCCCCGATGGATTCCTTCCTGTCCCTACTCACTCAGTGTCCCATCTTAGTCCCAGGAGCCAGACTGGTATTCCCAGCTGCTGCCATTTCTGAAGTCTGGCGGAATTTTCCACATACTTGGCTATGGGCTCTAACTATCACTGTGTGTGGAGAGCAGGCCAGGTCCCAGCAGTCTCTGCTCGACTATCCAGATGTTTGCTTGATGACTCTCAGTCTACTTGTATTAGTTACTTTTAGTATGTAATTACTTTCTTGTCGCTGTGACAAAATGCCTGGCAGAAGCCACCTCAAAGGAGAAAGGGTTCCTTTTGACTCACACAGCGGGAAAGTGCCAGCAGCAGAACTATTGGATAAGCCCTGGGGACCCTGTGCTGGGGGCTGGGGGTAACCACGCATGCCTTCCTCGCCTTACAGACTACTGTGAGCCCCACCACCTGCAGAGTTAGGACTTGGATTCCTCACTGAGCTGCTGAGCTCTACCGGGGTCAGCCTGGAGTAGGCCAGTAGAGGGTGTAGGAACCACAAGCTGGCTGTTGGTTCTAGATCCCGAAGGAACTCTGGTTGGTCACAGAGTCTTGGTTGGAAGGTGGAATTGTACTGTGAGTGTTTGAATACTGCCTCCTCTATGGCTTGGTTTTTCTCATCTCTGAGATGGGAATAACAAAACTGAAGACCCTTGCTGAGGGCTGGCTCTGTGCCAGACTGTGCTAAAGGCTCCACTTGCCTTTTTTTTTTTCATCTGTACTGCATGTCGGTGTTGTCAGATTGGCGCCATTTTTATCCCTGTTCTCCAGGGACAAAAGAGAAAGCTCACTTGCCCAAATTGTAGTAGAATCCAGATTTGCTGCAGGTAGCCTGGCTCCGGAGTCCAGGTCATAAAGCCTCTGCAGTGGGATTCTGTGATGAGCCCCGGCAGGAGGGATGTCCTCAGCAGCTCCTGAGGGCACTCAGAGAACATTTCCAGGCACACTAACCCTCCTGCACTGTCTGCTCTCCAGAGACAGAAGCCAAGGGAGACACCGACAGGCTCACAGTGGAGGTGCTGAAGGGCCTGGTAAACAAACCAGAGCTGCTGGAGCTGACGGAGAGCCTCACCCCAGACCAGACAGTGGCGTTCTGGATGCCTGAGTCAGAGATGGAGGTCATGGAACTTGAGCTGGGGACTGGAGTGCGGTTAAAAACTCGGGGTGACGGCCCCTTTATAGGTGAGCAGTGTGATTCCCTTTGCCTGTTCCTATAGGGCAGTGGTTCTCAACCTTCCTAATACCATGAGCCTTTAATACAGTTCCTCATGCTGTGGTGACCCCCTAACCATAAAATTATTTCATTGCTGCTTCATAACTGTAATTTTGCTGTTATGAATCGTAAATATCTGATATGGAGGATATCTGATATGTGACCCCCAAAGGGATTGAGACCCACAGGTTGAAAACCACTGATACAGAAGCTCCTGATCTCCCTTCAGAGGTTCCTCATCTCTCTTGCTTAGAGCTTTGGGAGAAGGCCAAGTCTGGTCTTCCACAGGGATTTGATCTGTGATCTTGAGGTTTACTCCTAAGTCTGTGGCCAAGTGCCCTGGGGCCATTAGCCTGGACCAACAACATATCCCAGGATACCATCCAACCCCTTGCTTCCTATGGCTGGCCCTTGCTTTCCAGTGCTTTGGGAGTTCCATCAAGAGCCATACCACACCAGAGTACAGAGCCAACCCAGACTTAGAGGACCCCACCAGAATGGATTTTCTTACCCTGACTGGTCCACTACAAGAAGAAAGGCCAGTCAACTTTTCTTCTTTCAGATTCCTTAGCCAAACTGGAGCTGGGGACAGTGACCAAGTGTAATTTTGCTGGCGATGGAAAGACAGGGGCATCCTGGACAGATAACATCATGGCTCAGAAGTGTTCAGAGAGGGACACGGCGGAGATCCGAGAGCAAGGAGATGGGGCAGAGGATGAGGAATGGGTAGGTCAAGGGGTCGGCTGTGGACCTGGACCTGGCATTGTCGTGTCTCTTGGTGGGAGTTTTGTAATACAGGATATGGTTGAAGGAGAATGAGTTGAAGGCAAGGTAAATTCTGTGTAATTCCTGAGACTGTGTTAGCATGAGGGAAATTCCCTCATGGACTTATCGGAGGGCGACAACCTGAGACATTTCTTGCTGGAGGAACTGAACACAAAGCCCCAGAGATTTATAAAATCAAGGACAGGAAGGAAAGATTATAGAAAGAGCCAGGGACTGCCATTAAGTTTCAAACTGTTTCTCTTGAAGTGATACATTAGTCAGTCGGAGGTCTTTGAGCAGCCATTGTTTTTCCTCCTTAGTCTGGACTCCAAAGCCTGAATACTAATCTTGTTCTAAGTTTCCAGTGCTGAGGGTCAACAAGGCCCCACTTCCCCAGTTTATGTGCAATCGTTTATCTGAAGTGTATTTCACCTGAACTGACACCCAAAGCCCCCTAATAGAACATTTAGAGCAAAAAATCACAGAAAATCAGAAAAGACAAGGAGGACTCTGGCCAAGGAAGGGAAGGGTGTGTGGAGGGTCTGAGTTCCCTTCTGGGTCAGTAAAGCTGACAAGTGGTGGGCTCTAGAGTCAGCTCTAATGATGTGAGGCCAAGGCAGTGGCTGAGGATCCCATGGATACCACAGGATTAGACCCATCTGAAGACTGCCAGGAGACTTTTATGAAATATGCTCTACTCACATCCTTTGACTTGACTGTTTTGTGTCTCCAGGATGATTGAGGTGCCTCCTTCATCTACCAGCATCTGAGATGGTATCATTGAGAAGTGGCCAGATTCGACTTCCGCCCTGGAGAGAGCAGTCTTGTCAAGCTGAATACCATGTAACACGTTCTGCTGAGATCAAATCCAAGACCTCAAGACACCCAGAGGGTCTCCAGGCTATGGTTCTTGTATATGTGTGTGTTTCTCTTTGGACGCAAGGCTAGCTTTCCTAGACCTTTTCCCGGCATTCCTTTCCCTAGGTGGTAGACACATACTAGATGAGCCCTCCAAGGCACAGTCCTGATGCACAATTAAGGAATGTCCCTGTCTGAGACAGAGGGGCTCTGGGGGGGCGGGGAGAGTGAGCAGGCTCCTCCCATTCTTACTGTTCTCTCCTTTCTTTCCTTTCTGTCCTGTGCCAGCCTTCTTGTTGTGCATCTCTGTTCTCCTGATCTACTCTTCCTCGGTCTGTTCTTCCCCACCCCACACCCAAGGTACTACTTCTTTATTTCTGTTCCGCTCTGTGTCTCCATGGGGTTTCCTGCCTTACACCTGTCTTAGGGTTCTTACTGCTCTGATGAAACACCATGACCAAAAGCAACTTGAGGAGGAAAGGGCTTATTTCACTCACAGTTCCTTATAATAAATAGTTCATCATCAAAAGCAATGTGGGCAGGAACTCAAGCAGGGCAGGAACCTGGAGGCAGGAGCAGAGGTCGTGGAGGGGTGCTGCTTACTGGCGTTCTCCTTATGGCTTGCTCAGCCTGCTTTCTTATAGAACCCAGGACCACCAGCCCAGGGATGGCACCATCCACATGGGCTGCCCCCACCCCCCATTGATCACTAATTAAGAAAAAGTGTTACAGCCAGATTTTTTTTTTTTTTGAAGACATTTTCTCAATGAAGTTCCCTTCCTTTCAGAGGACTCTAGCTTGTGTCAAGTTGACATAAAACCAGCCAGCACAGACCCACCTGGCTACTCTTCTGGAAAGTGCTGTTCTTGGAAAGGCCAGCAGCCTTTCCAGCTGTGTCTGGCTGGCCCACAGGTCTTGACTCATTCCACTAGGCCAATTTTTTAAATTTTATTTATCTTTTAATTTTTTTTAAAGGTGCTGGTAATTAAACCTAGGGCTTCATGCTTGCTAGGCAAGTAATCGGCCACAGCCTATACCCACAGCCCTGGACCACATTTTCAGAACCACTGTATCTGTTGTTGTTTACTTGGAGAACTTTTTATGAATGAGTGAATTGTCAGGAAAGAATTCCTCCACACTACTGGGTTCTTGTCAGGTGTTAATGGTCTTCCAGCTGAGCCACCCTACTACAAGACAGCCTCAATCTGGTCATGGACATTGCTGTTGTAGAAAATTATTTTAAGGTGTGTTACTTTTGTTTATGCTCTGGAACATTTGTTTAATGATGCAAAGATGTGTTTGATTAAATAAAATTCACCTGTGGTCAGGAGGCTGAGTCAGCAACTAGCTAACAGGAAGTGGTAGGGAGGAGCCAGGTGGAGAAGGGTTTTTTTTTTAATTTTTATTTTTATTTTGCAATACAATTTAGTTCTACATATCAGCCACAGATTTCCTTGTTCTCCCCCCTCCGGCCCCCCTCACCTTCCCCCCCAACCCACCCCCCGGAGAAGGGTTTTTAAGTAGGGGCAAGGAGAAGCATGGGGGCTTCTTGGAGGATGTGAGCAAGGAGAGGAGGTGAGCTACTTGCTATTCAGCCTCTCTGAGGAGCAGAATTTCAACATAACCTTTGAATCTTGAGTTCTTTAGAGGAACAGAGATTTAGTTAAGTTCCTTTCGTAGCTTTGAGAGAGGCAGTGCCTGAGGGGACAGAATTCCCTCAGGCTGAGGCTCTTGGGGCCTAACCCTGCTGGTAGCAGTGGTGGAGTTGTAGTTACTGATTTGGACAGCAGTGGCTTAAAAGGCAGCAACAATTGAAAAAAAAAAAAAAAAGGACAATTGGTGCCCCACATTGGGTGCCAAAATGTTGTTGGTTGTTTTTTCTCTTGTTTTTTGAAGGACCCACCACCCAGTTCTCAAATAAATCACACATGGAGGCTTATTCTTAATTATACAAGTCTGGCCTTAGCTTGGCTTAGTTTCTTGCCAGCTTTTCCTTAACTTATCCCATCTACCTTTTGCCTCTGGGCTTTTCCTGTTCTCTTACTTCTGTTAATCTTACTCCATGGCTTGCTGTGTAGCTGGGTGGCTGGCCCCTAGAGTCCTTCTCCTTCTCTGGCTACTTCTTTTTTTTTTTCCTCCCAGATTTCTCCTATTTATCCTCTCTGCCTGCCATCCCCATCTATTTCTCTCTCCTGCCTTGCTATTGGCCGTTCCACTCTTTATTAAATCACCAGGTGTTTTAGACAGGCACAGTAACACAACTTCACAGAGTTAAACAAATGCAACATAAGCAAAATTAACACACCTTAAAATAATATTCTACAACACATTGCCTCAGTGGGTAGTGTGCCCCTGCTCAGATCTGTGACAGAATCTGGAGTGGAAGTCTACATGTCCTGAGTTTAATTCTATATAGCCATGGCAGGTGTATGTATACTGCTTGATCCTGGGAAGAAGGGGTGGAAGAAGATAGGAATTACTGAGTCTCTTTAATGTGTCAAATGCAATGCCAGAAGTTTTCTATGATCATGACCAGCACTGACAATACTGAGTTCTTCCTGATGTTAAGTACTTGGAGTATTCTGTCACAACACTTCTATGATGTACATATGATTAATGTCCCCATTTTTTTTTTTCGTGGTACATAGACTGAAGCTTTGAGACTCTATGAATATTGCCAGAGAAAGGAATTTAAACCCAGGCAGTCAGTTTCAAAGCCTACATTTCTTTCTTTTCTTTCTTTTTTTTTGGGAGGGTGGGGGAGGATCTCATACATTGCAGGCTGGCCTTGAACTTGCTATGTAGCTAAGAATGTCCTTGACCTTCTGACCCTCCTGCCTTTACCTCCCCAGTGCTGGGATTATAAGCACATATCCCCATGCCTGTATGCTGGAGCTCACACTCAGGGCTTTGTGCACTGGGTGAGCACTCTACCAACTGAGCTACATCCCCAGTCCTAAAGTCCACATTCCCTTACACACTGTTTTTTTTTTTCTGACAAGGTTTCACTATGTAGTCCTAGCTGACCTCAAACTCACCTTGTAGACAACCAGGCTGGCCTTGAACTCACAGAGATCTGCCTGCCTCTGCCTTCTGAATGCTGAGATCAAATTCCACATTTTTGATTACTGGACTCCTGCTTCCACATGCAAACTAGAGAAGGAAGAGGGGTCAGAGGGGTCAGAGAGGTCAGAGAGGTCAGAGGGGTCAGAGAGGTCAGACAAGTCTCCCAGTTCCTCAATGGAGGACCCAGGATTTGAGTCCAGAGCTTCCAAAGGCAGAGCTCTTGTCGCTTCCATTATCCCTGCTTCCTTGGCCACAAAAAGGTTTTAGATAATGAGGGCAAGAGGATGTAGAATCATGTCACTGGTGTCCTGTATCTGGGGTGGTTTACAGACAGGTCGTGATGGGGCCTTATCTTGGAGGGTGGTTACTCATAGGGTATCTAGGGACATTGGGACATCTTAACTGCCCAAAGCTCTGTGGCAACCTCTAGAGCAGGCCAGCCTGTTAACGCCCTGAGGCAAAGGGCTCTAGCTCTTAGATTTTAAGGAAGGAAAGGTCATTGTGGCTGGAGGCCAGAGGGTAGCATAGCCTGGGAGGTGTGTTTGAGATCAGGCTAGACATTGGGCATGGCAATTTCCTGCTCACTAAAGCTTTGAGGACTTTATCCCTAATGCCCTGAAAGCTAGTGATCCTGTGGAGGGGTGAGATCTGATTCATCTATTTTGAAGCTCAGTTGGCCGAGAAGAAATGGGGGCAGTGAGCTTCTGCTGGAGTCTGCTGCAATAGTCAGGTGAGAGGCCGGCGTGGTTGGCTCTGCAGCAGATGGAGTAAGAAAAGGGCTCATGTCTAGAGGTATTTAGGGAGCAGAATCAAGAGGCCCCAGGAGAGAGGAAGGAGTCAAGAAAGATGCTCAGTCTCTGGTGAGCAGAAGTGTTGGGGTGCACAAGGTTGTTTAGCAGGAGCCCAGCCTGAGGCTAGGCTAAAATCAGACTCCTGGGAAGGGAAACCAAACGTTCTGTAGATAAGAACAGGCTTTCAAAGACAGGCTTGGTGGCTCTTGCCTATAATCCCAGTGCTTGGGAGGCAGAAATATAGAAGGGTTCCCAACGGTTTGAGGCTAGCCTGGGCTACAGATCGGGACCCTGCTTCATAAAATCAAAACCAAAGACCATACAAGCAAACGAACAACAAATAAGGGCCAGTGAGATGGTTCAGTGGGTAGAAGTGATTGCCACCAAGCCTGGAGCTGGGTTTGAGTCCCAGAACTTACATGGTGGAAGAGAGAACCAATTCCAGCAGTTGTTTGCTGAATTCCACACTCATTCACGCTGCAGCACAAAGGCACCTACCCCTCCACATAGCAACAACAACAACAACAACAACAAAGATTTCAGGCTTAGGGATTAGAAAAACTGAGTTAAAACCCTCTTCCCAGGATAGAAAGGTACTTGGCTCAGAGCTGGGTGGGGACCTGGGGGCTCATCCAGGCACCCTGAATAGGTGGGGAAGACCCACAATTTCACTCTGTCCTGTTAATAATTGTTATTATCTTGGTTCTTTAATATGTCTACATGTAAAATTGGACTTGACTTCCCATTAGTACTATGCAATCACTGTCAATGCACAGTCATATGTTTTGAGACTATTTAGACTGATCACAAATTCAGTGAGATCTGCCTGCTTCAGCTTCCACAGTGCTAAGATTAAAGGTGCTCCTCTCTACAGCTGGCTCCTCGTTGTGGTTTGGATTATTTAGGAACAGCTGTTCAGAGTCAGGTCACTGAGAATCTAGGCATCTTCTGTAAAATTCTTGCTATATTGCCAAGTTGCTTCCCAAAAGGGTTATTCTAGACTATAATCTCAGTACCAATGTGGGAGAGAACTGATTTCATGCTACTTTTCCCAGAACTGGGGATGAAGATTTTGAACAAATATTTGATAAAGTGAAAATTCTTAAATATATTTTAATTTGCCTTTTTTTCTATTTAGAGTGAAATTAAATGTTTTTCATTTCCTGTGACCTACTTCTTCTTCTTTTGTTTGTTTGTTTTTTGAAACAGGGTTTCTCTGTGTATCCCTAGCTGTCCTGGAACTCATTCTGTAGCCCAGGCTGGCCTTAAACTCACAGAGATACGCCTGCCTCTGCCTCCTGAGTGCTGGGATTAAAGGAATGAACCACCACCTGGTCTGAATCTACTTCTTTTAAAAAAAATATTTTTGGTTGCATTTATCTTCGTGTGTGTGTGTGTGTGTGTGTGTGTGTGTGTGTGTGTGTGTGTGTATGTATGTATGTATGTTTGCATGCACATGCAAATGGAGTTCAGAGGGCATGTGCACCTGTCATGGTGTGTGGGTGGAAGTCCAAGGACAACTTTGGGAGTCAGTTCTCTCCTACCGTGTGAGTCCCAAGTTTGTTCTCCCATCATGTGGGGTCTGGGAATCCAAATCAGGTCATCAGGATTGGCAGCAAGCACCTTTACCTGCTGAGACATCTCACTGGCCCCAGCATCTATGTCTTTTGTTACTCCCTTTGAAGGCTGATGACTTTCAACTTCTGCCTCTCCCTCCTGTCTCTGTCTCCCAAGTGTTACGGCAGGTTCCATCACGCCAGCGTTTATATAGTGCTGGAGACGGAACTCCGGGTTTGGTGTAAGCTCTCTAGCACCTGTGTTACATCCCTAGCTTTATCATCATCATACATTTTTTTGGTTATTATCGTGCTTGTGAGTCTTGGTGCACATGTGCTACAGCAAATATGTAGAGGGTAGAGACAAGTTTTGGACTGGAGTTGCTCCACAGCCAAACTGTGATGCCCCCTACATCACTTATTAAAATTATTTTATGCCAAGGGCTGGAAAATGGTTAAGACTACTTCTCTTCCAAAGGACTGGAGTTGCTCCCAGCACTCACATCAGGTGGCTCACAGCTGCCTGTAACTCCAGCTCCAAGGCGCCCTCTTCTGGTCTCTGAGGGCACCTGAACGCATGTGCTCACACTGACACACAGACACACATGAATACACATGCTTAAAATTAGGCCGGGCGGTGGTGGCGCACGCCTTTAATCCCAGCACTCGGGAGGCAGAGCCAGGCGGATCTCTGTGAGTTCGAGGCCAGCCTGGGCTACCAAGTGAGTCCCAGGAAAGGCGCAAAGCTACACAGAAACCCTGTCTCGAAAAACCAAAAAAAAAAAAAAAAAAAAAAAATTAAATCCTAAAATAATTTTACTACAGATTGTTTGTGTTATAGTTCAACATGTCTCCCTTTAATTCTTTAACTATGATTTAGGGCTCGTGATGTGGCTCACTGAGCAGGTAAAGGCACCGTCAAGTCTTGAAGACCCATAAGATGACCTACATTAGATCCTTGGGACTCACACGGTAGGAGAGAACTGACTCCCAAAGCTGTCCTCGGACTTCCACCCACACACCATGACAGGTGCACATGTCTTCTCCCCCATAAATATAGAAATTAACGTACTTCAAACCATCCTAGTTAGTTTGATTGGTTGGTAAAGCTAGTTCCTTCTTGTCACTCTGTTTAGAATTGTCTTTGATGTTCCTGCCCAACATTTGAATCATTTTGCCACACTTCAGGGCAATTGCCATTGAATTATTTTATTTACAACGCCCCCCCCCCCCCCACACACACACATACAACACACCATACACAGCAGGATGTATGTAGTGGTGTAAACTTTTAATCCCAGCACTTAGGAGGCAGAGGCAGGCGAATCTCTGAGTTCGAGGCCAGCCAGGGCTACACAGTGAGACCCTGCTTCAAAAAAACAACATATAAATAAAGACATAAACAAAAGGTGTTACCAGTTTGAGACCAACCATACCTTTTAAATGGGATTGCATGAAAGATCCCTTGTGATTTCAACTTTTACCATCTAAAGGAGAGACCGACCATCTGCACGAGGAGACTTTTGCCTAATTCACCGCAGTATCGTAATACTGAAAATAAAAGCCCAGTTTTTGCTGGCCCAAGAGGCCACGCAAGCTCCCTCCTGGTCCCTCAAACTGGCGCAGCTGCTGGCAGGAGTTGCCGCCCTGGATCCGCGATGGAACCAGAGCGAGGGGCCCAGGCCGGGGTTCACGTCCTAGCCAGGCTCGGGTTGATAACCAGGTTGGCCAAGGCGACCATGCTCCCAGGCTTCCACCCACCGTGTTCCCCCGGCTAGCCCGCCGACCTCTCCAGGGCGTCAGAGCGGCCGGACCCTTAGGTGCTCGGACCCCAGGGCTCTACGGCTAAGTTTCCGGGAGCGATTTTCAGCAGGGCACCAACCGGAAGTGCCCGTGTTGTGGCGGAAGGAGGAGCTTTCTAGGAGCAGCTGGTGCCGAGAGAAGCGGGACCGGCAAAGATGATTCAGGCGATTCTGGTTTTCAACAACCATGGGAAGCCGCGGCTGGTCCGCTTCTACCAGCGTTTTGTGAGTGCGGCCCGGCCCGCCACGCACCCGCGCCCATCCCTCTCCCCTCGGCCCGCCGCAGAGCTCGCCAGCACCTCGGGCTCCGGCACCGCGCATGACCCACCGCCCCTGTTCCTCTCCCACCCTCCCTGGATCCTGGCTTTTCTGTGCTTTGTGACACTTTCCCTTGGGTCTTAGGCCAGGCACGGTACACAGTGTGTGCTTCGTTGAAATCTTGACAAAAACCACTGTCTTTAATTTTTTTTTTTTAATCGATGAGCGTAGTTTTGTGATGGTCGGGTTGTTGGGTTCTTTTAAGTTTTTGTTTTCTCAAGGTGGGGAGAAGTTCTTTCTTGGAATTACTTGATCCAGCGTTGACTGAGACTTATCAGGGTCGGGCTACCCTTTACCCTGTAAGGTTACAGAAAGTCTCTTAAAATTGGGGGTGAATGAGTTATATTACAAGCTGTCAGATGTAGTGGTGCACACCTGTAAGCTCAGAGCTCAGGAGATGGAGGCGTGAGGTTGAGTTCCTCAAAGTTATCCTCAGACAGCTAGTTCAAAGTCAGCTTGAGCTACCCCAGGCCATATCTCAAGAAACCAATAACTAAACACATGCTGTCACGAGATGGCCCAGCAACGTTCATTTTCTAAAAACATTTCCTTTGGGAAAACGCAAACGTCATGATTTGTCTCCTGTCCCCCAACATTTTATTCGTGGCTAGGTTTCAAAATACATAACTGAGAGACTGGTTAAACCCGAGAGGGAATGGAATCAGAAAACATTCAGACTTCAGCCTCACCTTTCCTACTCTTGTGTGGGTTGGCAAGTTGAGAAATGTCTCTTGGATTTATATTCCTTTTTCATCATAAATGAAAAAATAATGTGCTTTTTTAAGTAGGATTTTCAACGTGCATTCTTTAAAAAAAAGTACTTAATACAACTTCGACTTATGTGTGCATTTGTTTCTCCTAAGTTACTGATATATAAAATGACTATACAGCTAACTTACTATATCACAATTTGAAAACCTTTTTATTGATACTCTTAAAGTAACTCCTCCCTGTTAGCAGTCAGCTCCCCTGGCCCTAAGCAAGCACTTACTTTCTCTTTAAGTTTTTGGACATTTTATCTAAATAGAATCATAATAATGTATAGTCTTTTTAATCTTTTACTTACGAAGACATCCATAAGTTTCATCTATATTGTAGCATGCATATATGTGTTCTTTATTTATTTTGAAGCAGGATCTCAATATGTAGCTCAGGTTGACCTGGAACTGGAGATCCTTCTGCTCAGCTGGACCTAGTGGCACAGGTTTATAATCACAGTACTTGGGAAACTGAGGCAGGAGGATTGTGAGTTCAAGGCCAACCTTGGGTACATAGTGAAGACATAAGCAACAAAAACAAAATCCAAACAACCGGCCACCAAAAGAAAAGATCCTCTCTACCACAGCCTTCTACCTCCCAAAGTGGCAGGCATGCCACTGTGCTCTGCTGTTCATTCCATAGTTTTATTTCCCATTATTTGCTGTATCTGGCTTTTATAAATAGTGCTGCTGTGACCATTCATGTGTTGAGTTTTAGTGTGGACATAGCTTTTCATTTTTCTTTACTTTAGTAGTAGAATCAATCATTAGGTCACATAATAACTCAATGCTAAACATTTTTTAAAAGTAGTTTATTTATTTTTATTTTATGTAAATTGGTGTTTTGCCTGCATGTATGTCTGTGTGAGTGTGTTGAGTCCCCTAGACCTGAAGTTACAGACAGGTGTGAGCTGCCGTGTGGGTGCTGAGAATTGAACTCAGGACCTCTGGAAGCACAATCAGTGCTCTTGATGGCTGAGCCATCTCTCCGGCCCAATGGTGAACATTTTAAGAAACTGCCACAGTGTTTTCCAAGTGGTTGTACCTTTCACTCTGCTATCAACAATGTATCAGTATTCTAGTTTCTTATCTCCTCCATTGTGTATCTTTTTTTGTGTGTGTGTTGTTGTTGTTTTCTGAACTAGGGAGTGAATTCAGGGCCTCCCTCATTCTAGGCAATTTTTTTTTTTAACCACTGAGCTATATAATCCTAGCCATGTTGTATTTAATTAAAGGCATTTTAGTGGATGAAACTGAATCTCCTTTTAAAATGTTTTGCTATCTGTTTCCATAGTGACTAAGGATGCTGAGCACCTATCTTTTCCTATGCTTATTGGCGATTTGTGTATCTTTGAAGATCACAGAATTGTTTAGGAACCCCTTGAGTGAAGGTCCCTTGAAAATCGCTGTGTACTGAAAGCTAGGAAAGGTTGTTAAAGTAACTGGGGCACATAAGCAGTGGTGGTCTGCTTTCTGTTGAACTAGGAATTAGTTGGACTCATTGTTTCATTACCCCCACACCCCCATTTTTACCCCTTCCACCTGTGGCTAGATAAAGAGCTTCAGTGGAACAGATGTTTTGTCAGTTTAAAAAAGTGCTGATGTTTATTTAGCGTGTTTGTGCTTCTGAGCACACAGAATTAATGTTTGACAATATCCTGGCAAATGTGAGCTTGGTGTGTTCACATGGAAACCAGGAAGGTAGTGATTGATTTGTTCTAGTTTGTGGGCCAGTGATTAGCAGGTTTGCATCCATGCATTCAGGAGGAACTGAGAGCCTTTAGAGCCCACCTTGAGCCAGCCATTTCCTCAGTGACTAGTTCCTGGTTTTTGTGTTGGCCCCCGTCCCCGCCCCCAACCCCCAATAGCTTTTAAATAACTGGCCATCTCAAAGCTAAGTGCAGTGGTGTAGAAAGAAGGGGTTATTTTTTTTTTTTTTTCAAGACAGGGTTTCTCTGTGTAGCTTTGTGCCTTTCCTGGAACTCGCTTTGGAGACCAGGCTGGCCTCGAACTCACAGAGATCTGCCTGGCTCTGCCTCCTGAGTGCTGGGTTAAGGCGTGTGCCACCACCGCCCGACTGGGGTTAATTTTTTAAATGTCTTTTCCTGACTTAAGGGAGATTCAAGCTGAGCATTTACTTATGCTGTGCCCCTCAGAGTGTGGTCCCCCAGACCCAGAGCACTGGTGTCCTGTGGGAGCTTGTTAGAACTACAGTCTCAGGCCCCAGCCCAGGCATATTTTTTTGTCTTTTTTTTTTTTTTTTTTTTTCCGAGAGCTGAGGACCGAACCCAGGGCCTTGCGCTTGCTAGGCAAGCGTTCTACCACTGAGCTAAATCCCCAACCCAAAGCATGGATTTTTTTTTTTTTTTTTTTTTTTTTTTTTGGTTTTTCGAGACAGGGTTTCTCTGTGAAGCTTTGGCGCCTTTCCTGGAACTCACTCTGTAGCCCAGGCTGGCCTCGAACTCACAGAGATCCTCCTGGCTCTGCCTCCAGAGTGCTGGGATTAAAGGCGTGTGCCACCACCGGCCGGCCAGCCCAGACATTTAAACACTGTTGCTGGCTGGTTCATCCCACATTACAATATGAGGCAGTCTTCTCACATCTAGAGAGTTTAATTTTTATTTATTTGTTTTATGTGTGTGAGTGTTTTGCCTGCAGGTATGCCTGTCACCACATGTGACAGTGGTGGCGCACACCTTTCAGTCCAGCGCTCAGGCAGAGGCGGGCAGATCTCTGTGAGTTTGAGGCCAGGCTGGTCCATGAAGCTAGTTACAGGATAGCCAGGACCACATAGAAAAACCCTGTCTCAAAAACCAAACCAAACAAAACCCTTGAGGATCTTTGTGAGTTTATGGATTCTGACCCCTTGTTTGAATCTCAGCTTGTCTATGAGATAGCAATGATTTGTGACTGAGATACCAAGGTAAATAAACACACCGCAATCCCTGTACCTGTCTTTCCCATAGTCATTCTCTGCCTTCCATGTGCTTACACATGATCTTTTCCAGCTGTTCCCAGTGAGGAGCCCCTTTTTAAATAGTCACCCTTACTGGTGGGCACACTTTTTCTCACTTGCCCCCTGACCCGGCTTTTTGCTCTTGTTCTATAGCCTGAAGAGATCCAACAGCAGATTGTTCGAGAGACTTTCCATCTGGTCCTCAAGCGAGATGACAACATCTGTAACTTCTTAGAAGGTGGAAGGTAAACATGAGCTTCAGGTAGCTAATCCCCTTAGGTTCCAAGGTCCACTTTGGGTGGCTGTCACTGCTTTTGTTTCTTCTGGTACACTCGGGTCAGTGACTCCCTGATGCAGCATAACCTGTTCTTTTTCTGGTGTGTGTGGAAGGGTGCCAAGACTGCATTTCTCTGTATAGTCCAGGCTGGCCCTGAACTCAGAGGTCTGCCTACCTCTGCCTCCTGAGTGCTGGGATTAAAGGTGTGTGCACCACTACACCAGACCCACGTAACCTGTTCTTAACAGGAGCTGCTGTTTGTTTTATTGTATGTACATTGGTGTTTTGTCATGCTCATCTGTGTGAGGTTGTCAGAACCTCTGGAGCAGGAGTTACAGACAGTTGTGAGCTGCCATGTGGGTGCTCTGGAAGAGCAGCTGGTGCTCTTAACTGCTGAGCCATCTCTCCAGCCCCAAGCCGTGTTTGGATCACTGGCGGGCTAGGTCAAGGGTGAAGTCAAGTGGCTTTAAGTTCTCTTCCAAACTTAGTTGCCGTTCATGTAGAAAGTGCCTGCTCTGAGTGCTCAGCCTTCCTCTTTGTTAGGCCCATTTCCATTCTTGGTGCAGGGGTCCTTTGCTGTGTTTACTAAGATTGGAGTTCTCAGCTGTTGGCCACTGTCTTCCAGTCTGATTGGTGGCGCCGACTGCAAGCTGATTTACCGGCACTACGCTACCCTCTACTTCGTATTTTGTGTGGATTCCTCCGAGAGTGAACTTGGGATCTTGGACCTCATCCAGGTATGTGTGGTCATCCAATAATGGAAGCCACTTTAGAGTTTACACGGGGATTTTGAATAACCAGCCTTGGTGTGGATCCTTTTTTCAGTCTCCTCATCAGTGTTGGTAAGAGTTGCCAGATGTCCACCAGGTGGTGCTCTGGGAAAGCGCCTGAGCAACCTTCCAGGACTTAGTTGTCGGATAGTGCTTTCTACCTAGCCCTTGGTTTTTAATGTTTTGAATTTTCTTTCATCTCTGAAACCAAACTACATTAAGTATTTATACTTTCTGTGTCCAAGACACATGCACCTGTGTTTGTATAGATGCCATGGAGGCCAGAGGTTGACATCTCCTGTTCCTCAATGGTTTTCCACCTTGTTTTTGAGATAGGGTATTATCTGGAGCCAAAGACTCAGCTAAGGCAGGCTTGCCAGCAGGCCCCAGACATCTTCTCTGTCCTCCGAAGTGCTAGAGTTTGCTGCTCTGGCTTTTTGTTTGGGCTCTGGGAGATCAAACTTAGGTCCTTCTGTTTGTGCAGCAAGAGCTTTACCGACTGAATCATCTCCCCAATCCTAAGTGTCTGTACATTTCATTCTTACTTGTAATGGTAGCCTAGAGCAAGGCATGGCACACACATAGTGTCTTCTCCCCGTAGTTACTTTCATAGCTAACTTTAGTTGCAAAACCAAGAGCCAGTGTTATCTTAAGGAAGAAGTCTAAGGGCACATGTGAGAACAAAACTATCTCTTACAAAAGGAAATGAAAGAAGTTGAAAGCTGAGCATGGTGGGGCTGGAGTCCCAGCTACTCAGGAGGCCAAGACGGGAATATTGCAGGCTGTCATTTATGGGCTCTTAGTCTTAAGGATGAAAGAATTTTTAAATAGACTAAGAATGAAACTACATGGGACAATTTTATTGGAATTTGAGAGAAAAAAACAACAGGACTGACATGTTAGAAATCTCATCTACTACCAGGATTGGAGGTGGGATGGGGTGGATAAGATACAAGAAAATCATGCATCAGCTAGTCTGGCATAGAAAGGGTGAACAACTAGAGACGTCATCTCAAACAAGGTGGAAAGTGAGGTGCCCTCTGACCTCCAAATGAAAATTATACTTCCAGAGTTTGAGGTCAAGAAAGCATTGAATTTCCTATTTTTACACAATCAACTAGAAAATGCATAGTTAAAGAAAATATCACATGATGAATAAGGTGAGTGTTTGCACATTAACTCATTATGAAGTACCTGGTATTTATTCCAATAAAAGTACAGAATTGGACCAGCTGAGGTCGTGCATTCTTGTAATCCCAGCACTCTGGGAAACAGAGGCAGGAGGATCACTGTCAAGTTCAGACTCCATCTGGTCTACATAGTGAGTTCCAGCCAGCCAATACTACTTAGTGAGACTCTGTCTAAAAACAAAACAACACCAACAAACAAAAGATGCAAAATCAGAAAAGAAAAACATAAAGTCACGTTTGGAGTCAATACAGCTTTCCCTTGTTGGGAGGTGAGACAGAGACAACAGCAACCTCCAAGGTGGAGTCGGGGTCAGTTCTACCAGGAAGCCTTCAAGAACCAGGAGGGGAAAACTCAGGGAAAGAAAGTAAAGGACTAAGTGTGCGGTGTGTCAACACTTGGTCCTGTCCACTAAGTGAGTAAAGCCAGCAACAGCTCAGCTCTCCACCAGCTTAAAATACTAATTATTTCATTATAAATGGATATATTTTAATTAATTAAGTGTGTGTGTGTGTGTGTGTAGGGAGGTGAGTGTACACAAGAATGCGAGTGCCACGGTGCAGGTTTAGAGGTTTGTCTTATTAGGGTTTCTATGGCTTTGATAAAACACTGTGACCAAAAGCAGCTTATGAGGAAAGGGTTTATTTCAGCTAACAATTCCATACCACACTCCATCACTGAGGGAAGTCAGGGCCGAAACTCAAGTTGGGCAGGAACCTGGAGACAGGAGCTGATGTGGAGGCCACCAAAGAGTGTTGCTTACTGGCTTGCTTTCCATGGCTTGCTTGACCTGCTTTTTTATATAACCCAAGATCACTAGCCCAGGAGTGGTACCACACACAGTGAGTGAGGGGCCTCTCCTGTCAAGAAAATGCCCAACAGGCTTGCCCCTAGGCCAGTGTGGTGCTGGCGTGTGTCAAGCTGACACAGGGTCAGAACTGTCAGCAAGCACCCTTCCCGTCAGCCAGCCGTCTGGCTAGCCAGCCCAATGCTTTGGTCTTTTTTTTTTTTTTTTCCAGTTTTTTTGAGACAGGGTTTCTCCGTGTAGTTTTGGTGCCTGTCCTGGATCTTGCTCTTTAGACCAGGCTGGCCTCGAACGCACAGAGATCCACCTGGCTCTGTCTCTCAAGTGCTGGGATTAAAGGCGTGTGCCACCACTGCTGGGCTGCTTTTGTTCTTTTAGCATTAGAGTATTTCAATTCTTGAGGTTTGTGACAAAATCTGATACATAATAAGAAAAATCAGTTCTTGTTATCACCATTTTCTCAGAGTAGTCTTTCATATTTTCCAGAAAATTGATTTGTAATATGTAAGTGAAGAACTTTCCAGTTTGGTAAAAATTTCCAGCATTCTTTTTTTTCCCTTCAAGACAGAGTTTCTCTGTATTGCCCTAGCTGTCCTCAAACTAGCTTTATAGACCAGGCTGGCCTCAAACTCATAGGTTGGCCTGCCTCTGTCTCCCAAGTGCAGGGATTAAATGTGTGCACCACTACCACTCTGGCTTTAACTGCTATTTTTTTTTATTTAATTTTTTTGTAGATTTATTTATTTATTTTTTTATGTGTATCATTGTTTTGCCTACATGTATGTCTGTGTATCACATGCATGCCTGGTGCCTCCTGAGGTCAGAAGAGGGCGTTAGATCCCTGGAATTGTAGTTATGGATTGTTGGGAGCCACCGTGAGGGTGCTGGGAATTGAACCCAGGTCCTTTGCAAGAGCAACAAGTGCCATATCTGAAAAAACAACCACTGAGCCATCTTCCCAGCCCGTAACTGTTATTCTTAAAATACTGTTAAAGTGTAGAGTTATAAATAGTGCCACTGTGAAATGACTGTGTTTGGTTTTGGAATTACACGTGCATGCGTTTCTGTAAGATATGCACCTGAGGAATATAGTCACTGGGTCCTTGAGTTTAATACTTAATGGCCAGTCATTTTCCAGTGTTCGGTTTCTAATAGAAACCATGGACCAGTTATCAGTCTTAGGTCAGGATGTCAAACACTTCTGCCCATTGCATCTTGATAGCATCATCTAGGAAAACAGTAGTCGAGCTCTGGATGGAATAACACTTTGCTAACTAAGGCAGAAATTGGTACCAGTTGTGGGGTGTTGCTGTTACAGACTCGATCATGTGTTTTTGGGAGGATTGTGCTGGCATTTGAACTTGGGACTGGAAAAGCCATCGAGTGCACAGAGCTCAGTGGCTTGTTCTGTGGGAGCTTAGAAGATAAGAATGCTGAGAGAAATGCAAATGATAGAGACTTGGCTTGTGAAATTTCAGAGGGAAGTAAAGACTATCAGGGCCATTTATATGATATTTTGAATTAAGACTCTGTGTTTCTGGTCAGCTGGGAATGAAGAATCAGCCACACTTAGCAAGAGACCAGCACCACTGAAGTGAAACCTTTGCTTTGCTAGGACAATTGTTGGTGGTCAGCTTGAGCTGAGAAATTAGCAACAGTTAAGAAGAGACCAGCATCATTGAGGTGAAATCTTTTGAGAAGTGTTTCCTCGGGGTCAACATACAGTAACTGTGATCCAGAGGGGGCTGAGGCTGCATCTCATGCTAGGAGCCTTGGTGATGAATAAGAGTCATCTAGGTGGTACTGGTTTTGAAGGCATGAAGGGATTATGGAGAGCATTTGAGGCTTGGCACCGGAGGAGGGTAGAAGAGGCCATTGGAGAAGGTGCAGCTTCGTTTGCAGTTAAAGCCTCAAGGTTGAAGGCGTCATGGAGAGAAGCTGAGGCTTGGCACCATGTGACAGGGCCACAGTCCCTGAAGAGAGCCCAGGAGAGGTTATTGGTGAAGGTACAGCCCAGCTGCAAAGACTCCAGCGTTTTGGAAATGTCAGCACCATGGGATGGCCACCCGACACCACAGCCGCGGTGAAGGGGACCTAGCTTGAGCCTAGGAGACAAGCTGTGTATGCTGCAGAGGGCAGAGCTGGAGAAGTGGCCTGGGTCCTTTGGAGGGAGGGATCGTGGGCGAGTCCTAGACATCAAACACTGAACTTTTCACACTGTTGAATTTTGGTTTCGCTTTAGTCTGATTGTGACTGCTCTGGCTCTTCCTATTTGAAATAAGAAGAATGTAACTTATTTTTTATTTTATAGGAGCCCACAGTTAAGAGACTGAAATTTTAGAGAGACTTTGGAATTTCAGAGAGGCTTTGGATGTTTTAGAAAAACTTTGAACTTTGAAGAAGACTGATTTTTTTTTTTTTTTCTTTTCAAGACTGGTTTCTCTGTAACAGTCCTGACTGTCCTGGAACTCGCTTTGTAGACCAGGCTGGCCTTGAACTCATTGAGATCCATCTGCCTCTGCCTCCCAAGTGTTGGATGGGATTAAAGGTATGCACCACCACTGCCCTGCAAAATTATTTATTTATTTGTATTTTACGTACATTGGTGTTTTGCCCGAATGTATGCTTGTGTGAGGTTGTTGGATCCCCTGGAACAGGAGTTAACATATAGTTGTGAGCTACCCAGTGGGTCCTGGGAATTGAATCAGATCTTCCTCTGGAAGAGCAGCCAGTGTTCTTAACCACTGAGCCATCTCTCCAGCCCCTAAGACTGAATGCTTTAAAGAGACTGAACTTTTAAAGTGTTTGAATTTCTAAGACTGTAGGACTTTAGGGGCTGGAGAGATGACCCAGTAGTTAAGAGCATATGCTGTTCTTCCAAAGGTCCTGGGTTCAATTCCCAGCACCCACGTGGCAGTTCACAGTCTTTTACTCCAAGATCTGACACCCTCACACAGACATACATGCAGGCAAAACCACCAATGCACATAAAATAAAAATAAATAAATTAAAAAGACTGTGGGACATTTAAAAGTTAAAACAGGCTGGAGAAAAGGCTCAGTGGTTAAGAACACATACTGTTCTTACAGAGGACCCAAGTTTGATTCCCAGTACTCACTTCAGGTAGCTCACAACTGCCTGGATCTCTAGCTTCAGGGAACCAACACCTTTCTGGTTTTCTTGGGCACATATACAGCAGACACACTTACATACACATAAATAAGTTTTCTTAAAAGTTTGAAAATTTTGCCGGGCAGTGGTGGTGCACACCTTTGATCCCATCACTAGAGAGGCAGAGGCAGGTGGATCTCTGTGAGTTCGAGGTCACTCTGGTCTACAGAGTGAGTTCCAGGACAGGTTTTAAAGCTACACAGAGACCCTTTCTCGGGGAAAAAAAAAAAGTTTGAAAATTTTATATTGTGCTATTAATATTAATATGAGATCTTAGGGATGGAGAGATAAGAAAGGAACAGTTGCTGGGTGATGGTGGCACATGCCTTTAATCCCAGTGCTCTGATGGCAGAGGCAGGTGGATCTCTGAATTCCAGGCCAGCCTGGTCTACAGAGCAAATTCCAGAACAGCCAGGGCTACACAGAAACCCTGTCTCGAAAAACCACAAACAAACAAATAAATAAGTACATGCATACAAAATTTTATTAATACTGTAAGGAAGTTTTTTTTTTTAATATATGTGTGCTTCAAGTTGGGGAAAGGACATAGTATTGCAAGTAGTTGGTGGTTTATCCTTTTATGTAAATCAGTATCTTATAAAGGAGAAGAGAAAGCCTTAATGTGTTTGCTGGTTGAATTGCTGAACTGAAAACCAGGCTTTCCTGTCTGGATGATCAGTGCCCTGGAGTTGGTTAAAAAGTAGGTATCCGTTAATGTTGGAGACGGTGCTTGCCTTTTGAGATCTGTTGTGAGGTAAAAAGAGTGTCATGGTGGCCCGCCCCTTTTACTTTATTTTTTATTCATTTATTTTTTACTTTCATAAAGTTTTAAGGTAGCATTGCCCCAAGTGGCCCAAGAAGTCCTTGAATTTTCAGTCCTTTTGCCTGAATCGTTGGAATTATAGGCCTGAGTCTCTAGTTTCAGCCTGTTTTAATGACTTTAAGGTCTCGCTTGTGGAGCCCGGGCTGGTCTCAGACCTCTGGTGTCAAGCAGTCTTCCAGCCTAAGCTTCTGTGACAGTGGGACAAAGGCGCATTCCAGGCTTGCCTCTTTAATTTCCTATGTGACATCTGTAAAACAGCGCGTAATGGTTTTCTCTGTTTATCTGTTTTCTTCTTATTTCTTAGGTTTTTGTGGAGACTCTGGATAAGTGTTTTGAAAATGTGTGTGAGTTGGATTTGATCTTCCATATGGATAAGGTATGTCCTCTCCCAGAACAGGGCTCCTGGAAAACTGTGAGTTCAGAATGTATCTCCTGCCTGTGTACCTCCCTGTTCCGTCTCTTGTTCTTTGGCTCTGACCTAGTTCTAGAGTCTGTTTTAATTAATTAGTCAATTAATTTTGCAGTACTGGAGGTTGGATCCAGGGCCTCCCACATGCTAACCAGGTATTCTACCAACAAAGCCATACATCAAGCCTAAACCTGTTTTATTCAGTAAGTTTTATAGTTCTGAGGGGCCGTGAGATGGCTCAGTGGGCAAAGGTACTTGCTTGCCAAGCTTTGATGACCTGAGTTGGATCCTCAGAGTCCACGTGGTAAAAGGAGAGAGCTGACTACTGCAGATTGTCCCCGACCTCCACACATACTCCATGGCACGTGCCCCCCCCCCAAAAAAAAAAAATCTAATAGATTAAACAAACATGTTTTTATCCATCTTCTTTGTTTTGTTTTGTTTTATTTTGAGACAAGGTTTCTCTGTGTATCCCTGGCTGTCCTAGAACTCAATCTGTAGATCTAGCTGGTCTTGAACTCAGAGATCTGCCTGCCTCTGCTTGGATTAAAGGCATGTGCCACCATGCTTGGCTTCTAACAAACATGTTTTTTAAAATATGTCAAATAGTTTTGAGGTTTTTTTTTTTTTTTTTAGTAATGTATGTGGGTATTTGTCTACATGTATGTTTGTGCAGTAAGCATGTACCTGGAACCCCCAGAGACAAGAATATGATATTGGATCCTATGGGACTGGAGTTACAGAGGGTTGTAAGCTACCATGTGGGTGCTGAGTGCTCTTAACTGCTGAGCTGTCTCTCCAGCTGAGGTGAGAGCCCACAGAGGTGTGTGTATGTGTATATATATATATATATATCAATTTATTAAAGGTGTGATCTCTCTCTCTCTCTCTCTCTCTCTCTCTCTCTCTTCTCTTCTCTTAAGAGGTCATGTATGCAGACAAGAAGCCACGCCCCAAGGCTTGTACTCCAAAGCTGTTGGCGGAAGGAATTCCCACAGCATCCAGCCCCAGTGTATTTTGGGTTCTGTTGCTGTTTGCTAAGATCTGTTAGTAGTTTTAGTACATAGAGATTACCACTGGGCCTGTCTCCTGGCTCTTTTGTTCACAGGTGACTTCTTGGTGTATAGCAGTTATGACACCAGAGTAAGTGGCTGTATCTACAAAACTGAAATTTTTATGTTGGTTATTACAAAAGTGAAATTTTTATGTTGGTTATGAAGTGAGTGTCCTAGACATGGGCTAGTGACAGTGAAGCTTTGGAATGGTGAGAACTCAGGAACTCTGATGTAATAAACTTTGTATTTTAGGAGGCTGCAGGGCTTGGAGGTTGAGAGTGCATACTGCTCTTGCAGAAGATCCAGGCTTGGTTCCCAGTACTGCATGGTAGCTCATAACCAGTTAGTTGTCAGTAACTCCAGTCAGGAGATCTCATGCCCTCTTCTGGCTTCTGCAGATGCTAGGCATGCATATGGTACACACATCCAGCCAAGCACTCATACACATAAAATAAAAATCTTTAAAAAAGAAAACAAAACTAAAGCTCTGCATAGTACCTAATACATCTGTAACATCGTTTGAGAGCAGATCCAAGATGCTCTTAGGAAAGCATACTCGGAGAGGGTTGAAACAGACCCGAGTGGTGCTCTCAGATTTGTTTTGTTAGCATAACTATGAGGAGGCCTGTGTTCTCATGTGCCAAGTTAAACAGGAGACAACTCACAGGGGGACAGGGACGTTATTTCGTCCAGCTGGCACATGCTATCCTCAGTGATGTTCCCTGGCAAGTCAGCCAACAACCTTCCAGTGATCCATGACTTTGGGAAGGAGTTGTGATTAAAAAACCCTCCTTTATTATTACTTCTTTTATGTGTATGGGTATTTTGCCTGCATGTATGTTTGTGGGCCACCTGTGCAGTGCCCACGGAGCTCAGGGGTGTTGGAGCTCTTGGAACTGGAGTTACAAGATGGTTATACCCATCAGGTGGGTGCTGGGAATCAAACTGGGGTCCTCTAGAAGAGCAGTCAGTGCTCTTAACTGCTGAGCCATCTCTCCAGCCCCTCATTTTGATCAAACTGCCCATTGTTACGGCATAATTTTTATTAGTTTATTATCATTATAATGGCAGCAAGAGTTTTCAGACTCGTTGCTGCTAGCATCACCATGCAGAGCACTTCCTGGCCGTTCCAGGAGCTTCTCTTCTTTTTCTTCTCTGTGGACTGTACAAGGGTTTAAATAGGAGAAGGCCCCAGGTAGACATAGCTAAGCAATCCTGGTCAAGGTCTGGTCTGGTTTATCTTGTCCCAGTACGGTTCTGTGTGATCCAAAGAAGTCCTAACTGCTTTAGGGGAGCAGTCTGGTTCCTATAAGATGCTCTCAGTCAGTGCATCCTTGTTCAGGTGTTAGATAGGAGTGTTGTTTCCCTTGGCCTGTCTCAGACTCTGTCATAGCCCTAGTGCAGGAGGATCATGGGGCCTACTCTTTCCCTGGAGACTTTCAACAGGCATCCAAAACTCAGTGGTGCTCTTGTGATGGTCAGCTTCCCTTCTCATTTGAAAGGCTCTGCTAAATGTCAGGTGTCACTTAGCCCTTCTCTCTGCATGTGCTTGGTGTTTGTTGTTTACCAGTTGTTGAGGATGTTGCTGTCTTGTGATTTACACCAAGGAGAATGCTTCCCGTAAGCACTGTTGGGGGACAAAAGGTTAACTTGAGACTACGATTGAATTTGTTTTTCTTTTGTTTTGGTCTGTGTTTTTTGAGACAGGGTTTCTCTGTGTAGCCCCTGGATGTCCTAGAACTCGCTTTGTAGATCAGCTGGCCTGGAATTCAGAGATCCACCTGCCTCTACCTCCCGAGTGCGCCACCACCACCCAGCTGAGTTATTTTTATAGGCCTTACTATTATTATTTTTTTAAGATTTATTTATTATGTATACAGTGTTCTGTCTGCATGTATGTCTGCAGGCCAGAAGAGGGCACCAGATCTCATTACAGATGGTTGTGAGCCACCATGTGGATGCTGGGAATTGAACTCAGGACCTCTGAAGGAGCAGTCAGTGCTCTTAACCTCTGAGCCATCTCTCCAGCCTCTATTATTATTTTTAAAGGGTTGGGTTTTCGTGTTGTTTTGCTTTTGTTCTTTGAGACCGAATATTACTCTGTAGCCACAGCATGTGTGCAGAGGTCAGAGGACAAATGCGTGGGAGTCAGTCACTTTTCCACCATAGGGGGCCTAGGTCATTAGGTTGGCTGCAAGTGCCTCTGCCCACTGAACTATTTTGACACCTCCTCATTTTGTTGTTGTTTTAAAAACTAGGTGCTACTTGGAGTTAGCATGTGATATACAGAGTGGTGCTACCTGTCGTTTGCAAAGGCAGGCGTGGCGTTTTCAATATCTCAGCATAGATGAAAAGACTGGTCCTTCTGGGGAAAGTAATTTCCCAATTGACAGAAAAGAAGACAGAGATATCTGTGTCTTGTCTTCTGCTGTCTCCATGGAGCGGTATATTTGTGGGTAGTCTCTGCTGAAATGACCACCCTTCCTCCCACAGCAAGCTCTTTTTATAAGGCACTATTAAGTGCAGCAGTATCAGTGACGAGCGACAGAGTGGGCACTAGGCTGTCTGCATCTGAGTGCCAGATGTTCATAGGCACTACTTGGGAAGACTACCTGCCTAGTCCCTGACCCCTTGGGAACCTGTGGAGTGGGGCTCTTGGAGGAGCCAGCTGGTCTAGTGAAAGGTAGAGCATGGGAGAAGGGGGGCCCCTGTTCAAGCTACTTCCTCTAAGCTGTCTGCTAAGGCAGTGTTGAGAATCCCAGTATGCCTGATTCTGTTTGGTGGTAAATCTTCTGTTTTCTGTGAGTAGCACCACTGTACACAGCCCCTCATCTACTCCAAGATCATCCCCATCTCCCCACCCTTCCAATGCCACCCCTTCTTTCTCTCTTAGATCCTTAGAAAACAAACAGGCCAAAAAAAAAAGAAAAGAAAAACCACACACATAAAAACCCATAAAAACCCAAAATCAGAAATCATAACATATAAGCAAAAGACCAGTAAGGTAAAAAAAATGCCCAAGTAAAGCATTATTAGACAAAATAAGCTCCCAAAATATCATTGAGTTCATTTTTTTAGGCCATCTACTGCTTGGTATGAGGCCTGCCCTTAAGTGTGATTCGTATAATTTGAATTTTTCAAAAAAGATTTTAACTTGAATTGCATCAAATCATTAAATATTTGAAGGTAATTTATATTTTTACAATAAAACTATCTATAATGTATCTTTTCACTTCTTTTGGGGAGAGTGTTTGAGATAGGCTGTCTGTGAACTTCTCATAGCCTATTATGTAGGTGGCTTCAAACCCATGGTGTTCCTCCTGCCTCAGCCTCTCAAGTCTAGGATTACAGACATGAGCTACCACACCCAGCTCTTATATTTCCATTTCTTTAGCTATATCAATTAAAGCCAGGTAGTGGTGGCTCTCACCTCAATCCTAGCACTCAGGAGGCAGGGGCAGGCAGATCTCTCTGAGTTCCAGGCCAGCCTGGACTATAGAGTGAGTTCTAGGACAGCCAAGGCTACACAGAGAAACTCTTTTTTTTTTTTTTTTTTTTTTTTTTTTTTTACCTTAGCTTGGCTTGTTTCTTGCCAGCTTTTCTTTTCTTTTTTTTTTAAAGATTTATTTATTTATTATGTATACAGCATGTATGACTGCAGGCCAGAAGAGGGCACCAGATCTCATTACAGATGGTTGTGAGCCACCATGTGGTTGCTGGGAATTGAACTCAGGACCTCTGGAAGAGCAGTCAGTGCTCTTAACCTCTGAGCCATCTCTCCAGCCCCAGAGAAACTCTTAAAAAGAAGAAAGAAAAAGAGGAGGAGGAGGAGGAGGAAGAGGAAGAAAGTCTATTTGCATTTTACATTTTGCTAAATTTTATCCTAGATATCTATTTTTATGTATATGATGT